TAATTTAATCTTATATTAGCGACAATCTGGTTTCTTTTATAGAATTTTATAAGGGAGGTACTGTGTCTTTTTAAGGTCAAAACACAACTGTGACACTATGTCACGCTGTGACAGTACATTTATTGTTCTTACTTGTGTGAATGGCTGTTCCACCGGTGTCCTTTTTCCCTGTCTGCTGGTTTCACTACTCTGTTCTGGCTGACTGTGAAACACTTTCCAAAATGAAGAGGGATTTTCCAAACCTAACTCAGACCTTTTAAACAGATCAAAATCAAACATGAACGTAGTATTTTTTTTGAATGATACGTAAGGTTTATTCAAATTATCTAAGAATTAAGGATAAACTTGTTATGCAGAGATTCTGATCATTTAAAGAAAACAAGATTAAAAAACACAATTTCTCATTTAATCTAGATAACCAAGCCTAAAAATGCAGAAAATTTCTCCTATCCCTACTTTTAAGCTATGACTGCAACCTTGCCTATTATTGATTAACCTTTGGATTATTTTTTCAATAATTTCATCAGCTCCATTGTCACTTTCTGTAAAATGTGAGAAATAAGTGAAAATTGCAAATCACAACTTCTGAGAGCCCAAGAAGTCCTCACATTGCTTGTTTTGTTCAAATAACAGCTTCAAAAACACAAATTGACCAACAAAGCTCTAAATCCTCATGTTTGAAAAAACAGATCTCTTGACTGATTAATCAATCAATTGACTAAACTAATTGTTTGAGCGTGATAATAATGAAAATATTACATATTCATTCAGTTTCTTAAGTGATTTCAGAGTTATTCTTTTCATGGAGATGGTAAATAAAGTTAGTTGTCTCATTTATGTCAAAGTGAACCTGTCCAACCAAACAATTCATAAATACAGACTGTTGCTACATCTCCAAATGGTTTAGTTTGAAAATGAAATTGTGGCAAAAGATAATCTCACTAATGAGACAAACTATGTTAACAAAGCTATCTCTAAAATCTAGCTTTATCTGTGTTGTAACGGATGATTGCAGAATGTTAAAGGGATTATAAGAGCCTGGACACTTGAATAATCAGCTAGATATGTAAACATAAAAGCATGGATTCGTCTCTGATGACAAAAAAATATTATTGGTTACCTTATTACCACAAACTACAGTTTAAAGTCCTTTTTGTCCTGCACAAATCAGTTCAAAGTTCTCTTATCATATCAATATTTTTGGCACAGTAACTTTAATAAAAAAGTTCGAAAACCGCCTAATTATTTGTGTAACAGGACAGAAAAAAACACCGGGTTTATACATAAACATATCAAAGTAGGTGAAGTAATTTAAAAAATATATTCTTACCTCATGTTTTTCTAACGTTAACGTCTCCCTGTTAACGTTAGTTAGCTAACACTCACTTTAATTTCCCTCTTTGTCGCTCAACTTCCTCCGTCGTCTTTTAACTGTTGTCAGAGAGCACTCACAAACACTTTTAACCTTTACAACAGGATAAAAACGTCAAAATTTATCCTCTTAAAATGTTATTTTTCTTCTCAAAAACAGACGTTATGAAGTCTGCGTCTGCTCCGACGCACGAGCGGCTGTGTGTTGCCATCGAACGCCAGGCAGGTGAGTGCGGGGGCGTGCGCACTCGAGCACGAGCACGAGAGCTCTGGTTCTGCTATGCAAACAGGAGGAGGTAAACAGAGAGGCTGAGAGATGGAGAGGAAGGACCAAGGGCAGGTTAGGGGATAATGGGCCCCTGGGCACAGACAGGTGACTCCCCCCTACAACTCCACACCTCTCCTAAATAAGACTGAGAGAGATGCAAAATGTAGTTTTGTTGACGTTTTGCATCTTTTGTGGTCGTTTTCTGTCTCTTTGTAGTAGTTGTGTGTGTCTTTCGAATCATTTTGCTCTTTGAGGCCATATTGCATCTCTTTATGATCATATTGTCTCTCTTTGAGGTCATATGGAGTCTTTTAGAAGTTGTATTTGTGTCTCTTTATGGTCGTATTGTGTCTCGTTGAGGTCATTTGGTGTCTATTTGTGGCCATTTTATGTCTCTGTAGTTGTTTTACCTCTCCTTTAGACCTTTCTTGCATCTCTTTTTTGATCATTTTGTGTCTTTTACAATATTGGTTTTAGACAGGTTCTATGTTAGGGTTGGTTTTTGTGTTTACACCATTTCTTATTCAGGGTGGAATAAATTTTCATGTCTCAGTGTAGAGACATACAGTTCAACAGCACCACAAAGTTGAAACAAACATATAACACAAACTGAACATTAGGTTGTTGTTCATACAATGCATAATTTATAAAGTTGTGATATATAATATTTGTGTTGAAATCAACAACTTATTGGTAACAAGTGAGACATACTCCATTGTGTGTATTTCAGCATAAAAATTAAGGAGGAGAAAGAAAAAATGTCTTGCTTTATGACAAATATATATTCTCCCACAGGGCAAGACATAAATAATTTAAAAAATGATTTTTCATAGAAGAAGTGAAGCCTTTTTCTTTGTTTCTCTCTCCTCTGTGTGCCCCTCAGTTCTATTTATTTTTTTCAAATCAAACAGTTTTATTGGTTTAGTAATATTTCCCTATATTGTCAAACAAGCAATTTTACAACTTCAGCAAACACATACAGGCGTACTGTGGTGTAGATGGTGCAGCTGCAGTTTTTAGTGCCAGATAAAAGCCTTGTGTAACCAATATGATGTACCTGGGTGCTAAGGTCTCGTATAACTTTCAAATACTGAATACTATTAAAGTTAAAGTGAAGGTGTGTTTATGCTCAGACAATTTGTCTGGGAAGCTTTCTGTGGACTTTTGCATGGTTTATAGACCTGAGAAGAAACAAAATACATTTCATTCTTTTCCTAAATGTAATCATCAAAATTAAATTCTCTTTTGCACGACAACTTACTCAAGTATGGTAAAATTTAGAGGTACATAGGTGATTTAAAAAGGACAGTTCTTTACAAAAACCAATGCTTATAATAGTATATTTTACTGCTAAAGCTTTCTAGTGTAGGTCAGTGTTTACATGAGATCCTTGTCTCTATTTGTTGTATTTTGTACATGTTCATCATCTGACGGGCTGCACATTGGCATTTCTTTCACCATGATTGTTGCTTTTCTTTGAATTGTGAAATACATTTTGAATTTCATTTGTGTTTTACTGTGGTGTGTGTGTAACATGTCAAAAAATGCAAAGTTTGGATGACATCTATAAATACAACAGGACACAAAACAAAGGGAACGATCCGGATATAACCCAGTAAACAACAAAATGCCAACCAGTGTGAGATAACAAAAATTCAATGCGAAAACGGAAAACAACTAAACAAACAGTCAAGAGAAATGTTGCCTTGTGCTTTCTCTCGCTCTTCATCTCTTTCTGTCTTTACATAAGATGACTACCAACCAAAATGGATCTGAAGTGGTAGTGATTTATGCCCAAAACACCAAATTTCTGCAACCCACACTCACTTTATGCTCATGAAGCATGACTATAGAAGGAAAACACAAAACACAACAAGACAAACTGGTAGTTTCATGACATGAGAGAAAAAACATATTTTACATACTGTATATCTTTATTGTGGCAAGCTAGAGCTCAAGTAGTCAATGAGTTGAAGCTTCAGCACATCAAAGAACCATCTCTTTACTCATGTTTGAAAATGTCACCACTCACTATTACATGTCTATACTTCTCCATTATTGCATAATATGAAAATGTGTTAAACTGATGTTAGAAATATGGATCAGACCTACAGCCACCACCCGCTGCATGCTTCTCACTTTAATTGAAACTCCTCCACAGGTGAATCAGACGTTACTAGATGTATTGAATCTTATATATCCAACATTTATTTTCTTTCATACACCTGTGTAAAAAATCTGTCCTGCTCAGGATGTTCCCAAAATAGATGTGCCGTCTATTGTCATTATTGTTCGCAACTCACCTAACCGGTTTGATATGCTTCTATTCTCAGAAAGAGATCCTCCTCTGTGAAGTCCAGGAAAGCAACAAGTCAATAATAATCAATAATCCAATAATAATCTCCATCCTTTTCTGCTGTAAACACAAATGTATGTTCTGCATTCACGTTTGTGTGCTTTGGAGAAAAGACAAAAAGTCACAATAACAAAAGAAAGCAACAAACAGAACAACATTCTTGACATTTTGCAGATGAATGCATCCAGCTGCTTCTGAATCCTCTTATTCTTTCATTTTTCAGCCATTTTGGAGGAAACTTCACCTGAGGGGAATCTTCTCGAAACTAGTGTTTTCATATTTAAATTGTCTATATTGACTAGTTTACTCTTCACTAGTGTTTCTAATTCAAAACGCTCAGTCAGTTGACTTGCTGATGATTTCACTCCAGAATCAAGAGTTCAGTTATTAAATGCATTTGTGCATTTGCTCATTGTCATCGTTTCAGATCAGATCACTCTTCCCTAACACATCTCTATGAGAAGCTCACCTGTTCACTGGAGGACATTTACACTGAAACATTTGCAATCACTTCTGTATGTGCGAAGTGTAAGACATCACCGTAAGCTTTTAATTCTAATTCTGTCTCTGACATTTAAAAAAAAAAAACTGTAGGAACACTGACAATCTCTCAGAACTATTGCAGAGTTGTTCTTCCTTTTCGGGTTTGAACAGGAAACTGTGGTAAAAGACACGACCGTTACGGACCGAAACAAGAAGCTACTCCTGTGTACTTAAAATAACATCAAAAACAAAGTGCTCCTTGGTAAACTGTGGTAAAGTGCAGCCTCTGGTGGAAATGTTCATGAACTAAATTTATAGCAAACTGTCTGTTTATACATCACAATATGAGCGAAGTTTCCCTGAAATTAAATTGGAATTAATGTGGAATGAAACTAAAGCTTAATGGATTTTTTTTTTTAAGTTTATGAATTTGATTTATTTGCTAAAGATTTCATAATGCTCTGATGCCACAAATTATATTCAAATTGATTGACTATGACTTAGAAATAAATTAAAACCATGTCCAGCTCAAAATAAGTTTATTCTTTTTCCTCCAGTTTTCTAGATTGAGATGATTTTAAGCTGCTGGTTCTGGGACAGCGAAAACAGAAACAAGTACTGCAGAGACACAGTGCAGCAGAAACACGTTCAAACCCAACAGCAACTTATTAGATTTTATCTTCAATTTTATCCCTTCAATCAAGAAATACTCTGAGGGTCTTCATAAACCGATTTAATGAAACAATAAACAGCAGAACAAATACAAATACAAACAATACAAACATGATTATTGTATTTCACACTTGGTAAAATTTGTTAAAAATTGCATTTGAGAAGTTGGATTGAGGATCTGATCTTCAGTCACAGAGATGTCAAGGTAAATTTCACTCGCTTTCACTTGCTTACACCTTTTAGTTTGGTTTTCCCTCATGAAGTTCAGATTCCTCATCTAGGCACACTGGTTAAAATAAGTTAAAAATATATAATTGAGGGTACAGAATATTTTATTCTAAACTTCACCCGGGCACCCCTCACACCCGATGGTCCTGATGGTAAACCAGCTGGTAGCTATAAAATCTGAAGTCTAAAAATTAAATTTTTCAAATATAGTAATCCTCTCTTAAAAATGTCACATTTAAGCACATTTAATTCTTTTCTTAAACTCAGTGCTGGGCCTAACGATAGTGAAGTACAAAAGAGAGAGTAGGAAGATGATGAAAAACACAACTGATGCACACCGCGTTTTTCAAGAGGTGTGTGGTCGCCTAATAAGGGCCAGTAAAACAACCCTGAGGAAGATGGCTGCCGTCATTATGCATCGGTTGTGCTTTTAAAAAGACATTAAATAAGACTTAAGAGTCTGCTAGTGGCTTTGTGAGGTTGTATTTGAGCTAAATGCTAACACCAGTATGCATCAGTAGCATGTTGATGTTTAGCAAGTATAATGTTTACTGTGTTCATGTGCTAGTTTAGCATGCTAAGACTATAGCGGCTTGTGGGAATGCTGTTAGTTTTGCAGGTATTTTTGGTTGAAACTACTGGACATATCAATATTTTAACCTGATGACGAGAGGTAAAAAGTCAGGGGTTCAAATTCAATCATCCTCTGCAAACCATGGACAAAATTATACAGCATTTCATCCAGCAGATGTGGAGATGCAGATGGGTGTGGGTGGGTCGAGGCCACTGAAGGATGAGCAAGAGTCAAGGTTGTTGTTTTAGAGTGGACAGACAAAAACTGGTCGAGTAGAGTCCGACACTAGCAAAACTGGTCCGTCTCTAACAACAAGTAAACAGGATTTACATAATGTGTCATGTTTAGTACAGTCTCTAGGCTCTTGCTATAGGGAGGTATGCAAAGAAGAGAGAAACAGTGAGCCTCATACTTAAATTATGTGTGTTGGACTGTCAACAGAAAATTCCACCACTCATCTGATAATTTATAAGATCTTTGCACTGATTAACCAGTACGATTTGCTGTAGTTGCTTTGGAGGAAAATAATATTTGATCAATCAACCAGCTTAAGAAAAACCTGCATGAACCCAGAGAACGATTTCTAGTCCTGCTGCTGCTCCAAGATCAGATCAGACAGCACGTTGATGTCCGTCTCTGCTGAGTGGACCTGCAGCACCAGCGTCACCATGTTGTCCTGATCTGGAAACACCTGACAGAGCTGCTCTCTGAGGCGGGCTGTTTCCTCTGGACTCCTCTCAGCTCTGAACCCCAGTCCGGGACCTGCAGCTCCATGCTGCCTGTGTTGGTGTCCCACGTCCCACCCTCTCCCATGCCCTCTCCCTTTCCCCCGGCCCCCTCTGCTCGGCGGGTCCAGACCACCAACCGGTGTTCGGTCGCGGAAGCTAAGCAGGTCCGTTTGGGAACGTGGAGATTTGGAGGAAGGGAAATGCGTGGCTACACCGGCAAAAGAGTGGTTTCCTGGTTCAGGAGTCCTGGGAGGAAACAAAGAACTTAATTCAAAGAGCTTTCAGCATTGTATAGACATTTTGTTATGAAACAACATTCATCACATAGAGGGGTCTTTCTTGATTGAGGTTAAAATATGCAAATACACATGCATTATAACTACAACATGGAGGAATACAATGTGTGTGTGTGTGTGTGTGTGTGTGTGTGTGTGTGTGTGTGTGTGTGTGTGTGTGTGTGTGTGTGGTTAATACCTGTGCTCTGAACGTAGAAAGTCATCCAGGTGAGGCCCTCCTCTCCCGAGAGGGTCGTCCGGCACCATGAAATGATCCCCAACAAACGTGTACTGAAGTAGTCTGAGGATGAGATCAGAGCACTGTAATGAGCTTTCATACAGGAGAGTGAAACCTCAGCTCTATAAAATATCTTTATCTTTATCTGAATTCATTCATGTTGATACTGTAGACTGTAGAACAGTTTTTGAGCACAATGCTCAATCCAAAACCAGGCTGCAAACAATGATAACTTTTACCATTGATGAACCTGTCGATTATAGTCTCAATTAATCGATTAGTCAGTTAACATAATGTCAGAAAATTGTGACATCCAGGTTTCCAAAAGCCCAAGGCAACATCTACAAATGATGAAGGTCTCTGAGCAGAACACAGGACGAACACATCTGAGGTGTGATGGATTCCAGACAATCCCCCCAATTATTGACTCCAGCTTCAAGACTTAAGACTCTGAGTTCAGTTCTCACAGCAGTAAATCAGTTGTGAAGACATTTGCTGCTCTGACCAGAACACCAAACCTGGTCTGGTGTTTACATCTAAAGACAGATCAAAGCTTCTTGAAGAGGGGAGAAGATAAGAGCGGATTGACAAACGACTGCTATGTCTTTGCTGACATGCCATGACTGTTGTTTAACCTTTGGGACTATATACAGAAGAAGAAGACCATCCACCCTCTCATTATGTGCAGTCCTTTTCTACCTCTTTTTGATGATGTCCCTCCACACATGGGTCTCGTCTGAGAGGTCCCTCAGGTTGTCGTTAGTAACGATCACTCCGTCCGTCTTTTGCGCGTGCTGCAGCATGAATCTGAGGAAACAAGGGCGAGAAGAGAAGAGAGATATAAAAGCAAACTGGAGAAGAAGCTAAACGTGTTTTCAAGACTTTGGCGCCCCACAGTGGTAGTCTCAACGCAACTGCCCCGTCCCAACACCTGACAACCTACAAGTGACTCTCAGCAGACAAAGGACAGTGTAATCAAACCAGACAGAGTGTGTACTTTCAAGTGTGCTGTTGATGCACATTACTCTCCCACAATGCAATGCACAAAGGAAATCTGCTGCTCACAGCTGCAAAAAATTAAAATAACTTGTGGGTAGTGGTGAAACGGCTCCAAAAAAATCTTGGAAAGCAAACAAACAAAAAAGGGTATTACATTATGTGAAAAACATTTTGGTTTCTATTTCTGAACTTTCATTGGCAGTAGATTTCCAAAGTTGACATCCAACATTACAAATATCATTTTCTATTAGCATGAAATGGTAAAGTATGTTGATGTTTTTGTATACTAACTTCTAACAGCATATTATGAAGATTAGTATCGTTTTGGGACAGAGTATTATTGTACGGTACCCCGACTTCATTTGGATTTTTTTCATGTTTTTACAAACAAAAAAATAATGCCATCAGAATGATTTGAAAGATGCTACTGTATCACCATGTAAAAATTATGACTACAGCAGTTTCAACACTTTCACTGGAGCTGCACATTGACAGAAGCCAGCGGTGGTGAGAGGGTTTCTCACTTTCACACAGATTTTACAAGCTGATGATCGAAACTAGTAACTTTCTGTTTATTCACTTTCTTCTCTAACTTCTGCCTCCTGCTGTTACTACACAGACACCATGTACTGACTATTACACATCTTTTTTTTTTTTGTAGGCGGGAGCCCAGCTACCTGTCGTCATACGAGCTGATCCTCTTGCCCTGGACCTCTCTGGAGGGGGTGTAGGAGAGCAGGCCCAGCTTCTGCAGCTCAGTCAGATAGTGTTGCTCTGAGAGGCAGAACAAACAACACTGTGTTTAGTCTGCACTGGAGGGAAAACACACACCCACACACTTACATATTGGCCCAGCTCGGATTTGTATTTCCCGTACATGTGACTCAGAATCAAATATAAGCAGCAGTATAACTCACGCACACGAGCCAGTGAGCACGAACACACACACATGCATGGAGGAACAGAAGCCTTTGTCATTTTAAAACCACAATATGTACTTCACAGAGAATGTGAGGGATTACTGCGTCACCCAGAACTACACTGGAAACAGTTTTTCATAGCATTCACAATGTTTAATAAAAAGCTGGAGGAGATAGATCAACTTATTGATAAAGGTGGAGATAAATTAGCTCCAACCAAATAGGTAGGGATCCATTTAAACAAACAGGTGTATGTGTGTGTCTGTGTTCTGAACTGAACTGAAAACATTAGTTGATTATTCAATTAGTCGATTAGCTGATCTATAGAAAATGATTCTGTAGCCATTTTGATAATTGATTAATTTAAGTTTAAGCACTTTTCTTAAGCAAAGATGCCAACGGCTCCCTCGCTCCAGATTCTTAAATGTGGGAACTCGCTGTTTCTGTCTTTGTCTGATGTGATTGTAAATTGATTTTGTGGTTTGGACTGTTGATCAAACAAAAAAGAAATATTCAAAGATATCAGCTTGGGTTTTTGGAAATTGTAACATTTAAAAAAATAATAACTTCTGACAATTTTGTTACCAAAGTACTAACTGTGACTGAAAAATGAAATAATCACAAAATCAATTAATTGTTGCAGCCTTAAGGTGTATACACCATGCAAACTATTATAATACTTTTAGTTTCTATATAAAATATTAGGTTTAAAACATACTACATGAAGAACAGGAAGTGTTACCTTTGATCCGGGGGTCGCTCTTCTGTCTCCACTGTGGCAGGAGGGCGCAGATGTGACGATGGCCTCTGTCCCAGAAATGCTGGATGGCAAGAGCGATTCCTCGACAGGAGAAGAAGTGACCCAAACCGTGACTGTGGAAAACGTGTGGAGTTTTATAACAAACCCAATAACTACAAGTCAAAGATTCAGTTTAGATCTGAGCTCACCTAACAGCTGTGACATACTTTTTACTTTACATTTTTAACAAAGTACTTGATCCGAATACTGGAGGTCCTGTTCGGGAATGACGAGGGAGCTCAAAATATTGATTTGATCAGCATTAAAATCTGCGATAAGTCGATCATTTCTTTAGAGAAGAGTCTCTCCACTCTGCTGAACTACGAAAACACAGTTCATTCCTGGTCGTAGAGTCATGTTACAGAGTGATGCGTCTCTTCACTCACAAACAATCTTTGGAAGAATCCAGTCAGCAGCTTGGAGAGAGCTCATCAACCAACCAACAGACTAAAGTTTCAGTGGAGCTGCTTCCCAATTAACATTAATTAATTAATTTAAATAACATTTCCAGAATCAAGAAAAAACATAATATGTAAATGAATGGACAGATTATCACCCATCCTGGATTAAATATCTTTTTAAAAGTCGGAACAATCCTTTATATTAAACCGTGTACTTTTCCTCAAAGAGCAAAATGGGAAACACAACTTAAATGTCCATCCCATATTAACCCCATTTAAAATAAACCTATTAAGACGCACACATTAGAGAGCGTGTACGACACGACTTTCCCTCTCTTTGTTGTAATTCCCACCTCATGGCCACGTTGCTCCCGTCAATGATGATCGTCCTCAGTTTCGGGGCTCCCGGCTTGTCTGCGAGCTTGAGTTCAAACGGCGTCTGCAGCCCCTCCAGGAAACGCTGCTCGCCTGTCACCACCACTGAAGAAGAAGGCGTGAAACCCCGTCTTTCCCTCCATCGGGTGGGAGACGAGTCGTTCCTGAGGAAGATGTTGGGCTGAGGGGCTTGAAGTGTTTGTTTTACAGAGTTGGAGGATTGGGGTTTTGGATTTAAGACCTTGGTGTGAGTTGAATGACTTTGTTTTGAGGTGGATGTATTGGGCCAGTGCATGATTTGGTCGTACTGTTTGTGAGTTTGGAAATTGGGTGGGGGATCAAGGGATGTGGGATAAATAGGCACGGGTGGTCCTTTGACTTCAGGCAGGATGATCTGGCGTGGAATATGTGACTTTGAAGGCTGGTGTCGCTTTGCCGGCTGGGGTTTATCAATCCAAGGAAACAAATCTGCCTCTGCAACAGGTGCAGTTAAGTTGGGCAATTCTACCCATCCTTCATCATCGGATTCTCTCTTTTCTTTGTCCTCTGGTGGTCCGAATTTTGGTCCGTCTTTCTCCAGCACCACATCATCCATCTCTCTTGGACCCTCCCTGAAGTCTGTCTCTTTGCTCCCTTCTCTCTGCAGCTCCAGGAGCAGCTGGTGGGTGGATCGATCGGGCAACATGTTGTAGACTTTGGCCACTTTGTGTTCGGTGTACCCACAGCTGGCTGCAGCTTTCTTCAACACTCCCAGGACGAAGTCTTCCTCGTGTCCTTCCTCCTTTTCCTCTGCACTACCTCCCTCAAAGTGTTTTGTGCATCCTGCCGCTCCATGCCCCTCTCCTTCACGAACTTCTCCCACCTCTCCATTACACCTTATCGCCTTATCTCCTCCTGCTGCTTCTTCGGCCTCCCTGTGCTCCGTCTCGCAGGGTCGGTTCCTCTCGCTCTTATTCGGCATAACACCCTCTTTATGTTTTGGCTCTGCGCCACCTTGAGTCATCTGCTCCCGGTCGCTGCGATCCTGCTCCTGTTGAACCAAGTCCAATATCTGTGAGGCCTCTTTAGGTCCCGTTCGGGCAAGTACTCGTTTCACGACATCGTCTGTGTACCCCATGGCTGTGAAGAACTTCAAAAGAAGCCAAAACTCCTTGTTTCCCATCGACAATTTCTGCTCCTGTTCTTCCTCCCCTTCAGGCCCGTCTTCTTCTTTGGTACCTACTGTTTCCCTCCTCTCTGGCTGCCCCTCCTCTCCTACCTCCTGTGGAGAATGTGTCAGTCTTTCCTCAGCACCCTCTGCTCTCCCCCGGGCGCCTGCAAATGCGGCTGCAACGTCTTTTCCTGAACCTGCAGTCATCCCTTCAACCCACCGATCATTAGTGTTGGAGGGCTCAGGGAGCGTGTGCGTAATGGCAGGGGGTTTGTCCCATCTGTCCTCCGATTCGTTTCTGTCTGTCGCTGCCGCCCTCGGGCTCAATACAAGTCCCGATTCTTTTACCAAGTCCAGCAAGATTTCCTTCACAGACCCTGGAAGCACCAGAAGATCCAGGGTGTGCCTGTCCTCCCATTTCTCAACCAGAGTTTTGAAGGCCCGGCGTGAATCCAGGGACTCACCGCAGCCTCTGTCCCCAATCTCAGAGCGTTTGGACTGTGTGCCCTCATATCTATCCACCAGATCGGTAATAAGGGAGTAGGCTCGCACCACCGGCTCCGCCAGACCTGATATAAGCAGGGATCCCGGAGAGCCAACCTGGTTTGGTGAGAGGGAAGCAGAAAGACATCACTCTTAGTTGTCTTAATGTCAGCAAAATAAAGTCTTTTAACTCTCTTATTACATATCAATATTGTTACTTTACTTCTACTTTTACCACTTACCTCCATTTTTATACTGTCAATGAAAACTCTAACAACGTGATACACAGAGTCTGAGGAACTGATCAGCTACAAGTTTATAAAAACCCTTCGGTAATCACACCCTTTTTTCTATAAAGGGGTAAAAACACATTGATAAGGGATTTCCAAGGAATTTGAAGTAGTAGTAGAAAAATAGCAGCTAATAGTGAAAAGGGAAGTTATAAAAAGGTAATAAAATTTCCCTGAGTTCTATATTTACATTCTCACAACACATCTTAATAAAAAAAAAAAAAAATTCCCGGTGACAACATCATGGTTTTACATTACGCAGCAGCTGTTACTTCATAAGGGATGTAGCTGATGATGTAACAATGATATTGACTAATAATGTAATTTTTTTCAGGAATAACAAGAATGTAATCCCAACATATCACATCATTAGTCAATATCATTATTCCGTTATAGTCATAGATGGCACTCTAAGTATGAAGTACCCAGTGGTTAGTGCCGATGGGGGATTTGTACAAAGCAGGAGGTGAGTAATAATTCATCGGAGTGCTATACATAGAAGAGAAAATAATGTTATAGGGAGGATATGAGAATTTAGGAGCCTTGTTTCGTCTTAAATCTAAATGGTATGAACACAATCTAGAGAAAGACCCAAAATCCACCACTTACCACTATATGTGCTGAGGTGCTTTTCATCAGGCAGTCCATGAACAGCCCTCTGGCTCCACAGAAGACACAGTGAAGGAACCCGGGGTAGGAAACCTCCTGCTGCTCCTCCTGGTTCACAACTCCTTTCACAAATAACTACAGGGTGGAAATATTTACCATCATTACTGTGTTGTTAAACTACTACTGTACAGGAGGTGAAAGTACAGTATTAGTGGACAAAATCTAAATATTATGTCCCTGTTTTAGGAAAGAAAAACATTAGTTTATGATCATCAAAGTTCATCATATAATATCACAAAACAATCTCAATGTCCATTTGTTGTTCTGGAGCTCTTAACCGTATCACGTGATCTTCAGTTTGCTCAGATGTTCCAACTCTTTATCATTCTATATTTTTATTGGTATTATAATGAAAAGTTTAATATTCTACACTTCCATGACAACTGAGCAGACTCCATCTGACACTGAAGACCATGTGATGTGGTCAGAAGCTCCGGAACTAGTGAGTAAGTGGTCCTTGACTGGTGATTTTGTGAGGTGGAGGATCAAGTTTGTAAAAGTGTAACTGAAGATGGTCGAACAGCTGATGTAAACAGAAGGGTTACTACAGAGGGACACAAAATGAGCACACGAAGAAGCAAAAGGACCAATAAGAGACAAAATGACCCCAAAGAGATGCAAAGCCGCTGCGAAAAGGAATAAAGCAACCACAAAGACCCTCAAATCCACCAATAAAGATGCACAAAATGACCACAAAGAGAGACAAGATGAGCCCACAGAGACAAAACAAGCACAAAGATTCACGAAATCACCACAGCAGCCACAAAGAGATGCGAAATGAACACAAAAAAAGTGCAACACGACCACAAATACGGACAAAACGAACAACTAAAAAGAAATGCAGTGATTGTTACAGGAAGTAGACCTGCATATGGTTGTAGTCAATATGTGTGTGTACCATGTGATTACTGGTATTTATTGTTTTATTACCGCATGAGTGATGTTACTCAGCAGAGCTACTGCCATTGTTGTGACCAAAAACAAAACTTTGCAGTTCAGTTTGTAGCCGCCTACTTTTGGTTATGAGTTACCAGAAGTCATTTTCATCTTTTGTTGTCAATCACTCTGACTGCATTGGAATGAAACTCAACAGACAGGTATTAATCAACATTTAAAAACCCTGGATGAGTCACTTCTGAGGAACTGCAGACTCGACACTATCAGGAACAACAACACGACTTTAGTGATACGGCAACTTTTACAAATCAAGGTTTACTAACTGGTAAAGAATCAGGAGTAATATTAAACAAACTTAAAATACAGTGATAAAGGAAAAGGAAGACTAAGTATAAGATAGGGCCGGTAAGGATAAGTCATTTTTAATGGTTCTAGCAATGTGGCCACAATTTGTTGAGCAATGTGACCCAAAGAAATGACTCATCTCTTGACTAATAGTGTAGTAAAGAGCTAAGAAATACGCCTTACTTTAGCAGCTTTCACATTGTTGCTCTGCCCTCGTAGTTTCAGCCAAATCTGCCCGTTGTTGCCGTGCGGCAAATCATCCGCCCCGATCCCGAACGTCACCCTGAATATCCGCTCCACGGTGCCGTGCAGGGTGGCCAGAGATCCCCGCAGCATCCCAGCACACGTGAACTCATCCTCCACCTCAGGTTCTCCACCAACACCTCCTCCTCCATCGCTTGTCTCACCGTCCATCCCTTGTTCTTGTATCAGTCGAACATACTGCGAAAAACACATTTTAAGAATCTGTTAGAATGAGTTTAGACCGTTTGGTGACAAGAACATAAACTGTGTGACTGCTGGTATTTTAATCAACGCTATAATCAACGAATAATGAAACGTGGTTAATGAAAATAATTCAAAGTATAAGACTAAGTTCATAACAAGAGATGAAATTAAACTATTTAATCGTCCTTTTTGCAATTAAATGATTAATCATGTTGTCTATAAAATACCACAAAATAGTGACAAATAACTTCCTAAAAACCAAGTGACACTTTCAAATTAAACCATTAAATCCAAAGACATTCAGTTTACTGTAAGAAAAGCGACAACGAAAATAATCAAAACCTCAAATTTGAAAGGCTACCAAAAAAAAATATTGATTTTGCTTAAAAAATGACTAAAACAATGATTTAATTGTAGAATATTTTTTCTGTCAATCAATGAATCAAGTAACCATCGCAGCTCTAATATGAAGCGCAAGTCCCGAGGAGCCCTGGTGTAATTTCCACATCTTCTTCCCCGCTGTTAAAAACAAAGCACAGACTGTATAATGCACAAAAACACCCCCTTTCACACTTGTAGCTTGTTTTCTTTTGCGTGTATGTGATTTGTTTTTTTTTTTTCCTTTCTGTTTCAAGGTGTGACAGTGTGGCGCTCACTAACAGCATGGGTCGGCGGTACGGTAGCTGTCGTGCTCCCGATTCAGATCGGTGAACCCATGCACATATTCAAGGAAGGACCTCTACATTTTACATAGTGTTTAACAGCCATCACTGAAGATATCGACTGAGGTGTTTTAGACTTTGAGTATAATTACAAAGAAGTTGACGGGTCTTGTAGTTGCACACTTTGCCAAGTTGATTATACAGCCCTGCTTCCATCATGTACAATAAAATGCTCTTTTTAAATGATATATTTAAATTTACATTTTTAAAATCAGTCATTTGTGTATTTATATTATATATTTACTATAGAAACTGTAACATAATGTGTCATTTTTATCCATTTTACTTGTTATTCTTATTTATTTTACTTATGGCTGGTTGTTGTTCCTTGTATTGACTCAAGGACGCCGATCTGTTGCCTCTGACATATAACTACTTTGCCTGTGAGTTTTAAAGCTGCGTGTATGGACTGGGTAAGCTGCAAAGGAATTGCCCTTCTTAGGATAAATAAAGTTGTCTGAATCTGAATAACTATAAGTATTTCTGCACATACTTTTCAAATCACTGTATGTCTTTGTAAAATGAGTAAAATGAGCATATAATACGCATGTTCTGTATCTGTATCTCGCACTATGAGCGTGGAAGGACAGAAGAAAAACAAAAGCTTTGCTACACAAACGTATATTCGTTAAAAAAATAATAAAAAAAAACTCTCTCATATTTATGTTTTATTGTGAAGTATTGGAGAGTTTTACCTCTTCTACTCGCAATGAAACTGAGAGAGAGAAATTCAGAGGAAAACTTTCTCTTTGGTTGAACAGCTCACAGACATGAAAAAGGTCACAGGGGTCACAAAGGGTCAAAAAGGTTGTGAAGGCCTGAAAAATAAATAAGCCTGTGATTTTTTTTTGTTTGTTTTTTTTGGAGGGGGGGTATGTTTATATGAACTTTATGAAAACTACTTACTACTACTAATACTACTCATTGCATGTATGTTTTGTATATGTTTGAAGTAATTTTTTGTTGGATCTAATGTTGTATGTTGTAACTTCACCATTTACTGTAAGAAGTGTGTGTGCAATGCTGACTATACAGTACATGCAATGCTGTGCAGAAATTTCAGGCACCTTAGATGTTTAGATCCTTATCCATCATGTAACACCATGATGGAGGCGTATGATCGGCCCGTAATTCATTCTGCAAACACACAGCCAGAGTCCTAAAGAACTATCTTCAGAGAAAAGAAGAAACAAGGAGCCCTGCAGCAGATGTCCTGGCCCCTGCATGGTTTACTGCACTTTCTATGAAAATAAGTGATAAATAAAAACTATTTATGACTTTATTTTAGCTTCCTCACTGTACTTTCAGTGCCTGCAATCTTCTGCACAGCAATGTACAGTATTTGAATACAGACCACAAGAAGAGCAGCTGTTGCTTCATAAACAATAAACAATAAAACAGTGGTTTACACTTGTATTTTAAAAAGGTGCATCACATTTATAATCTTATTTTGAAAAATAACTATACCTGTCATGATAATATAGCAGAGTAGCAGGATAATTACTTATAGGGCAGTAGAAGTATAATGAAAATAATTCAAACACCTGATGTGCATACCTTTGCAAACTCTAACACGTAAAGTAGGCCGCGGTGTGTCTCCCTGCTTGCAGCCTATTATTAATATACTGGCATATGATCTCTAACTTGTTTGACTGGGCCGTGCAGTGCAGTACAACAGCTACTTTAGCAGACTCACATAACATTTTTTTTTTTTTTTTGCTACTGCGAATCCCCCAAACACATATAAATCAGTTTAATCTCCAAAAAAGACATAAGAAAAATATATTAGAAGCGTCCAAACACGGCCTGTGGAGTATAATTTGGCGATAGTCTCAGTATTGTGAAACGTTTATCTCAGTGTAAATAGAGACACTGAATGTGTTGTTGTCAGAAACAGAGCAGGAAATAGAGACACTCCGCCGTTTAGTTTGGAATAGCAGACAGTTTGTGTTTTTGAAAAAGGCATTAAAAGCGTAAAATATCATCTTTCTTTATCGTTTTCTTACGTGAGGTCGACTTCAAAGTTTCGTTTCCAGAGGCAGCAGTTGGCTACGGGGGAGGCAGCGCAGCTCGCTTCAGTCTTCCGCAATCCCGCAAAAACAACAACAACAACAACAACAACATGTACCAGTATCAAAGTTCAACATTTCACGCCGCGTAACGTTACAAAGTAATCGCTCCGCGGAGGGAGAGGCACGGAAAGTGACCGAACAACGCCGCCGCTGCGACCAGGAAGGAAGAAGCCTCCTGCTGCTGCTACTGCTCCTGCGGCGGACCTGGACATTATTACACCGATGGAAACCCCGAAGACAAAACAACAACTAAACGAAACACACACACACACACACACACACATACGCACACACACAGTTTATCGCAAAGGCAGGGCGGAATCGTCTAGCTGGGTGCGAAGGTCATGTTGTTTATGTAATACCGTCGCAAATTTCTTAGTCATCCTATAAACCCCCACATGCGTCTTTGGACTCTTACACCACGTGAAAATGTATTTTCATGAATCAAAACATTTTTTTTCAGGGTTTCTGTGCATTTTATTTAAACATGAATTATAGCGAATAATCATATCTCTCAAAAAAAAAATGTAGATTCAAATTTTACAGCTTTTATATTTTAGAATATGTTTAATAAAATGTTTTATTGACTTTTTGTCAGACTGGAGCTAGAGGGGATTTCCACTGACGTCACATGCGGGGTTTTTCTGTCTTTTTTTAAAAAACTGCTGGTTGACTCAAGGAAACACAGGCTTATACAGCAGACTGTGTGTAACACTCCGTATTCCTCTCTCAATATCTCCTAGTCCAATAGAGATCCATCTATTCAGCTATTCTGATTTTGTTGTTGTTGTTGTTGTTCTCTATTTACAAAACGGTTTCAGAATCTGTCTGGTTTGATGCAGCATGAAGATAAGGAGTCTGCCCAAAACAGGAAGAGAGACGTCACCTCCTTAAACACATCCTGTGTTGCTTTGTTTGGGGCGAGAGGGCGGCGGGGGGGGGGGGGGGGTAAACTGGAGCGTGGCATTTAAACGATAAGTCTGACAATTTTCTTTATTGTCAACAAAGTCATAAACACCAAAACCAGAACAATGAATTGTTTCTACCTCGTAAAGTATTGTCTGTGTAGATCAAAGAGCTCCACTGTTGTCCTAAAAGGCTTCAATAAGCCACACATAGTTATTTCATTACAGTGAACATGAACACATTCACCATGCCGCTGCTTTAGACACTCACCAAGACCTATTAATCCATGGCTGAAAATAGTCCCCAACAAATACTGCATTTATTTACTAAATTTCCCGCAATTTAATTTAATTTAAATGATTAATTTTAGTTTTATGTCTATAGGAACAAATACATTTGAGGCTGACAGACTAACACATCTTAGTTTGGTTGGCAGTAACAAAATTAAAGGTAACACCATCTTATTTATCTAAACAACAGGTAAACAATTATGTGTGTGTGTGTTTAAAAGAAGCCTCCACTGGTTTAGCATTAACTCACAGTGGACCTTTAAACTAAGAAAGTATCAAAGTCAATGCAGCAGAACCAGAGAAATCGTCTATTTTATGGTTTCTTGTCCAAACCTGATGCATACATTACCCACAACGCACCTCACCTGCTGACAGCTGTCTCATTGGAGTGTGCAGGTCGTGGCTAATGTCACCTTGAAACTCCGGTCTCAAGCAGTACATGAGGAATGGCCTACAGAGGTCAGGTGAAGTCACCTGTTTCTCACTCCACACTCACAGAGTTTTATCATCTTCAGCCTTTTAGTCAGCAGCCCCGACCGACCCTCAGGGGGTCTCTGCGTCTCTTCTCAGAGACGCAGCGCCACCCACTCCCCGACATCTGTAGGCAGAATAAGTGGAGTTCCCGTTTAACCTGAGTCTGGAGTTACAGTGGTGATGTAATTTCAGTACACACACACACACTCACACTTATCATGTGACTGTAAATAAAAAAAAACACTCACCTCTTGGGATTACACAATAGGATTCGAGTGTGTGTCAGTGTATTTGCTATATTTGCTATGGAAAAGTTAGTTTTTTAATAATTCTCTGATTAAACAATTAGGATTTAAAAGATATTAAAAATAGATTTTGAGCCACCTTACAATTGAAATTTATCTATACATTCAGTATCTTTAGTCTCTGTAGTTAAGTTTTTATTAACAATCCTTATGACAATACAATTAATCACAGTTTAACTGTGACACAGTGCAGACAGGGCCTTCAAGGCTTTGCCCCGTTGATGATCCAGCCTTGATGTTAGTCAGTGGTTTTTGTAAACCTTCCATTTCCTGTTAGTCATTTTAGGACTCTGCCCTCTGCTGGTGAAATATGAAATAATCTTTCAAATCTGCTGTAGACTGTTCTTTTGTTAAACATTAGAATCATTTTACCCAGAAAAAGCTTGTGTCTGTGACGTGAGATTCAAAAACACTTCATTGCGTATTGTGGCCCTGATTTAAATCCCACTGGGCAAATAATCAAAACAAGGGCATAATCAATAACCTTAAAGGTTAACTTAATCATGAAATAAATTAAAAAAAAAATTATTATTCAGAGCCTCTTTTCTTTTCAAATGCGAGTTTGGGACTAAATAAAGCTTCTATACATCTGATTATCAGCTTTGTCATAACAGCAGGTATTTAAAGTGTCACAGCTATCTCAACTAACACCCTCACTCAACCTCTCCTGAATGGAGGCATTAAAATAAAGATGACTACACAAATTAAATCTTATCGCCAAAAACCCAGCAAAATACACACACACACTCAACCATTAAATCAGACGAGGAATAGTTTTAAATAAAAAAAATATATACAAAAAAAATGCTGTTGTCATGGTTGTCACTCACGCACTTGCCTGTTAGCCGAGCAGCACAGAAGCAGAAGTAAAAGTGAAATTTATGGGATGGATCTGGGCTGCACGGTTTCACTTCTGCTTTTGCCTGTTTAGATGGAACAAGAGCTGGTGCTACTGCGAGTAGAAAGTCACTGAATGATCAGGAGGGTTTTTACTCCGTCGACATGTTTGAATAATGAGGAAGAAGATTATATCCCTACAGGTGAGTGGTTCCCCTGCTTTTGAAAAATCACCTTGCTATTCTTATGAGTGTTTTTTAGTGTCTGTGCTATTTATTTGATCCGGAAATTGTTGTACTTTGTGGTACTTTCTACCTTTAATGTTATGTTGTTATTCATATGTCACGCTTCAGTGATTTAGACATTATCGTTTGAGCTTTAAAACCAAGATGGGAAGTGTTTAGTGTTCAGGGGGGTCTAGAAAAAGCAGGTAGCTTATTATTTAATGTTACACAGTGCAATACAACAACACAAACATAGTAAGAGTTGGATCAAGACAGTCTGGAAAAAGAAAACTTCTAAAAAACTAGAGTTAACTATCATGGCAGGACTGTTGTAGTTTACAGGTGTTTTTATCATTTTGTCCACTCTCCGGGGCTTTCTGAAAAAACGTGGTTTCCTGCAGTCTCTGTAGGTGTATCTGTCGATGTAGTTGGTTGTAGGAGCTACAGAATGTGCTCCTGTGTGAAATATGAAAACTTTGTGCATTTAAAACTGGGGAAAATAATAAATAAAGTAGAAGGGAAAAACTAAAGCTCCTCTGAAGACGTGTGTCCTTTTTTGTTTTTGACAAGTTAAGAGTCAGAACAGAAGAAGAAGAAATAATGGCATAACCTGCTTTCATCAACTGTGGCTCCTTTTTTTTTATTGTTCTTTTATTATTTTCTTAATTTATTGTTGGACTGATACTGTTTTCACCTTGAGAATCTGTTTGTGTGTCACCAGACAAAATGTGATCAAAGAGACACCCTCTGTAACGGGAACTACCACAGAGGTGTTTTTGAGTTTTGAGTAGCCTACTTACCAGGCGTTTTTACAGACTACATCTGTCTGTCTGTCTGTCTGTCTGTCTCTGTCTGTGGACACAATACAGTCACAACCGTGTAAGGTACAGTCATACAACTTTACAGGTGTGTTGCTGATATCATAATAAAGGCAAAGTTTTGATATTGGGTGTGGTCTGACTCATGATTACTCATGGGTTAGATTGCCAACATTGACGGGGGCATAGATCAAGATGGTCTCTGGTTTACTTCCTGAAATGTGGCGAACAAATACAAAGAGCTACATGACACTTTTGATGGGTAGATGAGTCGAAGGAAGGATTTTTAAATCCAAATGTGAAGAGAAAAGACGATGACACTCAGTGTTATATGTTATTTAAGTCACTTATCAAGCCAAAATGTCCAGTTTTATAAGTAAATCTATTGGTTGCAAAGCAAACAATATGAAGGTATCACCACAGACTCTGACATTTTCATAGACAGTTCAAGATTATTGTCATCAGTACAGGAACCACAGGAATCTAGACAGCCTTTAATTTCTTATACTAAGATCAACTTACTTTAAAAAAAAGTAAAAAGTAAAATATATATAAAGATATATAAATAGTTGCACCAAAGAAAATCAATACATGTCTATATACATTGGTACATGATCTGATACAGTTACCTTAAACGTCATCACCTTGAATAATCTCCTCCTCCAGTGAATATGGCACTGTCCAGCTATTCAGCTTCAGTGTTGATTGGAGAGTCCAGCCTCGGGGGCTGGAAGGTGATTGGCTCCGGGGGGTTTGGACAAATCTACAAAGCCAGGCATCATCGGTTGTGCTGCGATGTGGCCATTAAGCTCCTTCATCACGATGACGGGTGAGTAGTTTACAAAGATCTTCTGTTTGCTGCAATCAAAAGAAGAGGGGATTACTGACAGCACAAACACAATACACACTCACAGGAGCAGTTCATCTTTGCTGCGTGAGGTGGACATGATGAATCGAGGAAGAAACCCACATGTTATTCAGGTCCTCGGGGTCTTCCAGGGGCGACTGCCCAACGCTGGACCGACGGCACACCTCGGCCTGGTCATGGAGTTCATGGAGAGAGGGTCGCTGGCCTCCCTACAGGTAACCTACATGGTTGATCCGCTACTTTGGTCCAGGCTGAAATATCTCAACAACTATTGGATGGATTGACATGAAACGTTGTAGTGACCTTTATGTTCCCCAGAGGATGAATCCTGCTGATTTAAGCGACCCCTCGTCTTTTCCTCTATCGCCACCATGACATTAATGTTTGTTTTTTTAAAAGTAAAATGTCTGACAGGTATTGCATAGATTGCCATGAACTTTGGTACAAATGTTCATGGTCCCAAGAGGATGAATCCAGATATTGATGATTTTGATTATCATCTGAGTTTTTATCTAGCACCAGCTGCAAGTAAAAAACTTAAAATACTGTAATATCTCCACATCTACTTAATGGTTTGACACAAATTTTGGTAGACATTCATGGTCCCATGAGTGTGAATCCCCTCATTTGTTTGAGGTTGACATTTTTGCTTTTTAGTAAAATGTCTCAAAAACTACTGGATAGATTGACATGAGATTTGGAACATGCACTCATGACCCCAATAGGGTGAATTATAATCACTTTAGCTTTTCATCTACCACCATCATCAACTGAAAATACAGCTATAAAGTCTATAAATACAAAAACTAATACTTAAAACTGGCTTTTATGAATTTAATATATATAATATATAGTAGAAAGAGAGTGTGCAACTCACTGCTGTTCTCTTGTTCCCTAACAGGAAACCTTATGTGGAGCTCCACCATGGCCGCTGGTCTTCAGACTGGCTCACCAAGTGGCTCTGGGTATAAACTTCCTCCACAGCCTCTCCCCTGCCCTGCTCCACCTGGACCTGAAGCCCAGCAACGTGCTGCTGGACTTCCATCTCGAGGCAAAGGTGAGTCCGTGGCTTTCAAGAGAAGGCCAGGTCTTTGTAAAATACCATTGCTGTTGAAATAGTCTGCCATTTTTTTGTTGTCACTGACCCTTCTGCTATCCAACTTTTCAGCAAGCACTTCCTTCCTCTCTGTGCTGATTTTCTTCTCTGTTCCTCCTTTCTCTCCAGCTTACAGATTTTGGCCTTGCAAGGTTTTACAACAGTGTCTCCCGAGCTTCGAAGAAGGACAGCGAAGAGGAAGGAGGGACGATCAGCTACATGCCACCAGAGGCTTTTGACATATCCTACAGCCCTACACGAGCCTCTGACATCTACAGGTACAAGAGCATCGAACTTGTCACATACGAAGTAATAGCACCACCTAATTTTAGAGTGACAGGTTTTACTCTGGGGAATATACAAAAAGGATGTAGCACGTTTTTTTCACAAGGGTGATCTAACTTTTGAGTGTCACTGAGTGTTGCTTTTTATCTTTGTAGAAATTAAAGCTAAAGCATAAACTTTCTACACTATAAACACTTGTTAAACACAGGTTCAGTCTTGGCAGCAGCAGTATAGTAAGGGAAATTAGTTCCAAGCATTTACTGCATCATTCAAATTTCCAGGTAGTTAGGTAACTTCCTCATGTGACAAACTGCACAGAAACGCTTAACGCTGATTGTTGATTGTTGTGATACAATGGTGTGTCATCCTCTCTGCCTCTCTTTCAGCTATGGTATACTGCTGTGGTCCATTGTCACAGGGAAGCAACCATACGCAAGTAAGTGACAGTTAGGTCTCTTTAAACTGCCTATCCGTCATTGTCTGACACCTTCTGTCTTGCTCTTTGTTTTTCTTATTTGAGTCGTAAGTTATTTTTTGCACGATGACGCACGGTGCAAGAATGGCAGGAATTCACATGTGCAACCACACCTACTCTTTCTTTTCTTGGCTCTTAACAGAAGAGAGAATAACCAAAATAAATTTTGTCCAGTTTTAAATTATATTAGGCTGAGTCTGAGCCAGTGTTGCCATCAACTCCGCCCCTCCTGCGCATCACTCCTGGCTGTTACTTTAAAGCTAGCATGTGTAGGATTATAATATAAATATTTTGATAATTGATTAATTAAGTAAAAAAAAAACAGCTTCAAAGTAGAGAATTTTTTTAGATAAAATAAAAATAAAAATACAATCCTGCCAAATGTTCATCAGCTAGTCAGTAAATTTGTCTACCTGCCATTTGGTGCTGGGCATTGGGTTTATCAGTGTGTTTGTTGTACACTTTATTATCTAATCCATTGTTAATATAAAGATATTGATGAGTGCAGCTTTAATGTAAATATAAAGAAGTACTGGAAAATAAGCATCAGTGAAAAGTCTTAAAATATTTTTGGGTACATTTTCAAAAAGGACATAATGTCGCAAACTTCTAATACCCTTTTTAATCTTTCCTTGAATGCAGATGCAATGTCCAGCATCGTGCGGTTTCGCATCCCCCAGGGAGACCGTCCATCGCTGGAAGAGATCAGGAGCCAGGCTGCAGGGCGTGCAGGGTTGACAGGGTTGATGGAGCTCATGATTAAATGCTGGGAGGCAAGACCCACCCAAAGGCCCTCCTCATGTGGTAGGAAAACTACCTTGTTTAACGTGAATATCACCCTGCTGGAATAGTTAAACATAGACTGGAATTCACGACATTCTCTGCTCATGTTGTTTTAACCATCGACTTTACGTCTTTGTTCTTGTACCACCACGACTTTGTCATCAGTTTTTTAAGTGAAATTTTTTGAATGGATTGTGACCAAATTTTGGAAAATGTATGTCCCCATTATGATGAATTATAATGACTTTTGTCTTGCTTTCATTTTTCATCTAGCACCATCATCTGGTCAGAATTTTTATTTGTCCAATCAGAGTTTCCGTAATTACCAGTTCCCTACTTATAAATAGCGTTCACGTCAAACATCCAAGGTGTAATTTTGAGTGGGAAAGTCAAAGGCTTCTGAAAACATTTGGCGCTAAAAAGTACGGAAATGCCGCTAAAATCTTACAGACACAGTTATATATCGACCAAAGACTGAAATGATCCAGAAAACTACTAAACTTTTAATACTTTGTGCCTCAACAATAAATCTTTATGCTCTTTATGTTATTGGCAGAGTGTACAACTGTAACAGAGGACCTGTACAAGATGCACAAACATGGAATTAATGATGCTGTCCATGAAGTGCTGAAGAAGCTGGTAAGTATCAAATCTCTCCACAAAAAACACATGACGCTGAAAGGCTGTAAAATTTTGACATGACACAGCAAATCACTATTTTTATTGTGAACTCACGCTGCCTGATTCACTGTTCCTCTTTCCAGGACGAAGGAGAAGAAGAAAGAATGATTGAGCAGGTTCAAGGAGTTCATATCACTCAGGCTTCAGGTTTGTTTTCTTATTAAACTTTTGAATATGATTTTTTTTTCATGACTTTTCTTCATGCTTGTTCTCTTTCTTACCTGGGAGTTAAATGAAAAATCGCCAGGTCTGACCAGGTTTAGCTTCATATTTAGCATACAGACAAGAAAGTGGTATAAATCTGCTCATCTAACTCTGCAAGTATTAGATCATTTCTAACAATTCCTAACTGTCATCTAACTCTTGGTGCTTGGAGTTTGTAATATTTTGGTATAAACATCTGGATAACATAAAGAAAAGTCCACTTATTAGCTTTTCCGCAAGTACATCTAATGCTAGGACAATGTCAACGCTCCTCATAAGGTAGTGATAGGATTTGGTCAAAACTCTTTTTGACTAAAATATGACTGAGTCTGTTAAAACCAGGATTAAGATTGCTGAAACCTGAAATCTCATTTTAACAGCAACAGTTTTCACATTTCACGTTGTTCAATTTGCAGCAGATCCTGGAGTTGAAGCTGTGAACATCTGTGATAATGTGCCGACAGGACGTCCACCAGTTCAGGTGACTACATTGTTCGGGCTCTTTCTAGCACAGAGTGGATGAAACATTCTTCTTTTTTACAAATATGAATGTCAACTGACTCACACTGTGCTCTGTGTGATTTTTTTTTTCTTATGCCACAAATTGGTCAATACTGTGGTGTTTCTGCACATGCAGAGGCCGCATGTTTTTTTGCAGTCTCAGGGAAATGTTACATGCATCACTTCCTGTTGTACTCGGGGAATTTACATAGCAAATGTAAAAACCTTGCTTAAAATATGTAGTTTGGATCAAGGTCAATCGGTGATCCCATATGCAAATGTAATATATGTACATATATTGAATTGCAATATATGAAATATATGTACATATAAAATAAAAATGCAAATGCATATATGTAAAAATTTGTACTGTATATGAAACCTATTAGAAATTGGAACAATTTCATATATTGACATATATGTCTAGCCCATATAACCTACAACTAAAACCCATTAAAACCTTTAATTCTTAATTAGAGCCTATTTAAACACTTTAGGAGAGTCAACTATCTTGTCAATAATTATAGTCTCTATTCCTAATCAGTTTAAAGAATTTCAATTTCCATCATCTTTATCTTAGAGGTTAAAACCCACTCCCCAGCAGGAGGCATCATATCGGCTAGGCCACTGGTACAACCACTAACAAACAGAACTTCTACTTGTTTTTATTGCAGGAAATGGCTGGCGGTTGGACTGCAAATCAAAGAGACAAAGCATCGACAGTCAGAGGTAAACGGGAAGTTGGTGTTGAAGCTACACGGAAACTCCACCACAAAGAGGGGGAGAGAAACTTTTAGTGTATGTTTCAGACGAAGAAATCGTCCACGATGGCTTGTGTTTTAACATAAGTGTGTTCCCTTTCAGACCAGCCTGCACCTCAACATACAAATGTGTGCCATGTTGACCAGGCCCGCTCATCAAGAGACTATGATAAAATGAAAGTGTCCTCCGTATGTCCCATTGGTTCATCAACACCGCCTCCTTCGACTAAGAGGTCACCTCCAAGCAGAGCAGCAGACAATCCCCAGACGGCTTTTAGGCGAGGCATCTCTTCACAGTACCAATACCAGGTGGGTTTTTTTTTTATTCGTCTCACTGCATTAACAATCTAATATATTAATGTAGGAATGTATAAGTAGGGAGAAAATAATAAGAAATTGGCTGAAAAGGAAACAAAATTCTGCTGCAGGATGTTCAGTTGCTGGTAGACGAGGTACGTCAAAGAAATCCTATAATAATAAGAATATAGCGCCACAGTGACAGGTTCAGACAATGAAGGTGCTTAGACATTGATTGCAAATGAAATCAATGCAAGGAAAAAGAAAAAGAAAAGAAAACGTGGTACAACACATCCCATCAAATGCTTAAATGCAAACAATAGGGTCCTGATGTTTGAAAAGTATAAAATTTGGTCACAATCTCCTGTTCGTCTTCTGTTCCTCAGTTACAGTGTCGAATAATGGCCAGTAAAGTGTTTCTGCAGAAAATTATGATGTCATAGCTAAGTTGACCTTTGACCTTAAGGATATGAAATTCACCATTTTATCCTTCTAAACATTTGTGTTAAATTTTGCCATAATTAGCGTATGGATTCTTGAGTTATGGCCAAAGATGAGGTCACAGCGACGTTGACCTTTGACCTTTGGCCACTAAATTCGAATGAGTTTATCCTTGGGTCCAAGTGGATGTTTGTGCCCTTCAGGCATTTCTGAATTATGATCTTCACAAGAATGTGACGGACAGATAGTTTAGGACACATTTTTAGTGCTATGTTCTAGTGTTGGACTCTTTTACACAGAAAAACAACTTTGAACTCTTTTATTATTTTTGTATCTGCAGCGTCAGTTTTCCAGCCCCGTCCCTTTCCCCTGCGATCCTCCCTTGGCACGTCAAGTCTACATAACCCTCAGCAACGTAACTGGATTTCAGAGCGGCAACAACAATACCATGCACATCTACGACGCAGACCCGTTTGAGAGGAGAAGGCACCCAACGGCACCATCTAGTGTCAACCTCCCGCCACCACATCCAGGAAGCTGGAAGGACAAGGCAGGAGGAGTTGGCTGAGCTCTCGTGGAGCGTTTGGATTTAAAATTCTCTAACTTACTTTTACAGTTCTCCATAATTGGTTTTATCTTAATCTTTAATTTAATATTTTCTGTGTTTGCTTTAAATCTGAACAGGATTCAGATAGCGTTTTAGTTGCATGCAGGCTTTTAAAATTATATATATATATATATATTTTTTTTTTTTTTTAAATTTCATCAGACTTTATTTATTCTGCTTCTTCTGTTTGAAATTTTTAAACCAAAGAGCAAAACCTCACACCTCCTTTTTACCCTCTCAGCAGTATAAATATGAGCCAAGCCTGATCATATGGTTTTGCTTTTTCACCAGCTACAGTCGACAAATTTCCAAACCATTGTTTTGATACAGGCCTTTTGAATATTTAATGGGATCATCAAAATATGTGTAAAGCTATATAAATGTATATATGCTGTGTGTGTTTTTGGAAAGTTTTTTTTTAAACTTGCATTAATTTTGTTTCCTTGATACGTCGTTACATACTCGTGGGGTGGAGCAACAATGTCCAAACATTGAATTTTTATATATATTTTTCAAGTATTTTTTTGTTGTATGTATTTTATAATGAATTTTCTAAGACACAAGACGAAATGATGCTGCCATAAAAACTTGGCATGTTGGATTTGAATACTTCACGCATGATGTAACTTCAATGAAGTTTCCAGTATACAAAAAAAAGCTTTATCTTAAAAGGACAGGTCTGGTGTTACGCTATAGTTTTCCTATTGTCACATTTTCACCAGACTTGTCTTTTAACTCTGATGGTACTGAAGTGCACATAAAAGAGAAACATTAAGAACATGGTGATTGTAGTAGTTGAAGAAAAGTACGGTTTATATTATTCTGATAACTTAATAAATTCTACATTTGTACTCAAATGTTGTTGTGGTTATTATATTTGTATTACACTTTGTTTTGTTTTGTAGCGCACTTGTAAAATCAGTGTCATGGCCTTATTTATTATATATATATATATATATATGTATTTTCATATAGAATATCAAACCCACCCCTTATCCTAAAGATTTTACTACAGTCCTCAAATTCTTATGTCAAATTTTTTATTTTGGTGACATGTTTAGCACCATGTGGTTTGTGCTCTGTAAAGTACCTTTCCTGGTGTTGTCTGTTGATGAACCTACAGTGTCAGTAGGTGGCACTACTGTTTTCCTGTTCAGCTGTGGTGTTTACCTTACATCTACCCGTGTCTTCTATTTACTCCAATCAAATCACTTTGAGTTCACCGGGGAACCTTTTCCCACAACAAAAAAATATTTTAAAAGACAGCAAATGCAAATAATGAACTAGACACAGGCTAAATTAGTATGGTTTTATATCTATAATAGCAGAATCTAAATAAAAATGAACTTATATGAATATCAATGTCATGGCTATGAGTTAAATTCACTTACACTGTTGTTCTCTGTGTGAATTTTAATTTATTTACTTTTATATTATTGTTACTTTATTCTTGTTTTATCCTTTTATGAAGCACTTAATTAAGAAAATAAAAAAATAAACGAATAAATAGTATTTGATATTTTCTGTGATCAGATTTTGATTTCGAAGAATCAATACTTGTTACATGGTGTTAATCTAGTTTTGGAACCAGAGCCTTCACACTCTTTTGTACTCCAGACACGAATCTCCAAAGTGCTAACACAGGCCTCTGCTGTGCGCCGGGGCGTTGGGACTAATCAGTTGAGACGGTCCAGTGTGAACTCAGCAGGCTTCTGGCACCAGAACCTCTCCTTCGCTGCCAGCCCTCCATCTGCCACCGGATCCACCGCAGAGAGATGCACGGTCGCTGCGCATCAGTGGGGACGACAAACTCACACAAGGATATATGTATAGTTTAAGACTTTTATAATAAATGATAATATGATACCAGCGCAGTAGTACACATGAGAAAAATAAGTAATTGTATACGGACACCTTCTGAGTAAAAGTCTCTGTTGCCCTCTATACTCCACACAGCAGGGAAACGCACTTCTTACAGAACAACCATCTGTGATCGAGTGATTTATAGAGCGTATGTAAAGTATAGTAGAGGTGCTTTGAAGGCCACAATAGTGTCAGCATTTACCAAGGACACGTGATAAGCATGTCAGATGACTAAATGTCAAGCTGTTAGGTTAATGAACTGTACCATAATAGGCTTATACATAAATAATAGAAGGTGTGTTATGAATAGTTAACAATCTAGGGTGTAGCAAATTTACTAGCCTGAAGGGAAGCTGATAAAAGTGAAACTACAGAGGCTGAAATGCAACTGTGATGTTAATAGCAATCATTTCAAAATCTGACTTTAAATAACTTAGCAGAGATTCTTTGTATGCATCCAAAACCAAGAGAAAATTTTAATAAATGATTGTCAGACATATCAATGAATCGCATTTTTAATTAAGTAATTAAAATAAAATGTAAAACTAAATAAAAAAGCTTAATACTTGTCCCATAACCTCCAATCAATTTGTAAAACAAAGCAAAAAGCTGTTGGTATCAATTTTCTCAACATATTCTCCCTAAAAAGGCATAACTAAAATAGTTAGGTAGATGGGAGTCAGTAGTTAGGTTTCTTCAAGTACATATCTTTCCTTCATCAAGAGTCACTGCCCTCTCAATGGTTAGATATATGGTAGATACAGTGACAGATAGATAGATTGGTAAGAAGTGGAGAATAGACACAATAATTTTCTTTATTGCCACAAACCTTTGCTTTGTCGTTTCATTTCATGCATTAAAGGAAAATCACAAACCTCAGACAGGCCGACACCTGGTGTAAGCAAGCGTAGACGACACGTTACAGAAGTCAGACAACAGACAATAAGCCATAAAAGTGCAATGGAAATGGAAATTACATTTAGGGTTATTTGGAGCAAAGTGAATTCACCCATTCATCTGATACATATGAAGACGCATCGAAGCCGTTAAGTGTTTCGTTTCCAACTTCAGCGTGGAACTCAATGGGCATCCACTGACGCTTCCTCCTTTATGTCAAAGGCATTAAAGTAACACTTGCCCCCAAAACAATCTTTATTTTATACCCTGCCCTCCCCTCCTTACCCTTGGCTATGACAATCCTCTCACTTCCTACCTCAACCCAGTCTACAAGGGGAACACCAGAAACCCAGAGAAGGTGGAGTACTTCCACCCTCCCATCAGGTTCCCCCTCTCCAGTTTGAGGTAAGCCTTGTCCCCTCTCTCCATCATCACCAGCCCGGCGTTGGTGGCAGCTTCCCTGGTCACGTCTTGGTCACCTGCGAAGGCCGAGATCACCGGCCAGCCATTGAGAACCAAACTCACCTGGGAAAAACAGGTGAGACGAAAGAGCAGGTGAACAGACAGTGGAACTGCTGGTTGCAGCTTCATCTTTATTATCGTCATCATTATTATTTCCTTAAGCTTTTGTTCTTACTTGTATTGTCTGCCGGTTGTAAACTTTGACCACATGAAAGCTGAAACTGTAAACTCCTTTTCTGGGGGCCACAAAGATACTCCTCGCCGGATCAAAGTGGCTGCCAACGTTTACTAAGATCTGAAAAGAAAAGGAGATGAAAAGAAGGAGTAAATCTATAGCACAACATGACCCAGAGAAAAGCTGCTAATAGTCCCTTTAAATGTGCGATATTTGTCGAGTCATAACTGTGTTTGCTTGTCAAAGTTTTCATCAGTGAGCTCTAAATCTTTGTCGGTTTTTTCAAAATACTTTGTTCTGCTGAGCCTCACTTTACAACAGAGAAGAAGCACAAACAAGGGAACAAAGTGCGCAGGTAGGACAGTCGATGCACAGATTGCAGGACAATTAATTACTTGTTTTTGTTGCATTCATCAGCATCACTTCTCACACACAAACCGCGGAACAATTAAATACATGTTTTCTCTTTCACAGATATTGCATTCATGACTTTATTTTTCTTATTACTCTGTTGTATAATACTTTTGATAAACACTTATTAAACACAGGACAATTATGGTGAAGTGTTGGTGACATAGGTGTGAGCAGCCTGATCTGTTGGTGAAAGTACAGTGTACCTTCTGCGGGCACAGTGTGATCAGTGACTTCAAAGGGAATCATTTGCGCAAAATTTGCAACAGAACAGACAGACATAGTTCTCAGAGGATGACTGCTGACTTTGGTGAACCTTGACCTTTCCTCCAGCAATTCACCTTGAGGTTTACATTTGAGGTTTTGAGTGCAATGTCTTAATAACTATTGAATGGGTTTCCATTATATCTGGTACAGACATTCATGATCCCTTAAAATTTCATCAAACTGCATCATCAGTTCAAATTTTGCATTTGTACAATATTTTGGTTTCTAACCAAATTCCTTCAAAACTATGAAACTAGGCAAAACCGAAATCTAATCAGATGTTCTTGAGTTATTGCGTCCAACAGAATGTGTCACAGATGTCATCAAGACATAATGTTCATCATACCATGCACCACGGTGGCCTTATCCCCCATCGTCACCTCACTGACACTCTTGTGGCTCTAGCAGCCAAGTTTTGTGGAAAACCTTTTTAGAAGAGGCTGGTAAAGTAGCAGATCAATGCACATAGTTTCTGTATGGTATCAAAGCGCTCAGTCCACAGAGTAATGCACACAGACTGTATGCAGGAACTGATCCTTAAAACGAGCCGTGAGGACTTCTGTGATGTCACAACAAAGCAGTCACCGCCCTCAGCCATGCCCCTCAGCCACCTGGACCCACCATCCAACCTTGCAGGAAAACACTTACAACAATACATCAAGATGGATTTTGGTTCTAAAAACCACAAATATATCTTCTTATGGATCAAAACTTCAAATAAAACACAGGAAAAGTGTAAAATATGGGACCTTTAAAGGTTAGGTTTGGGAAAATAAAACAGTTTGAGATCATAAAAACAACCAAAACCTTAAATTACAACATCTGGAGAAGAACTTATTCAGACTGCCATAGATACAGTTGGACATTTTTGCCATAGAGGAGGTAAATATTACTTCCTCATTGCCCCTTTAAGGGCTGCTCAACCAACGTTAACTAATGCTCTCCACACCTACACACACAGACTGCTGAACCCCACCTGGTCAAAGTAGATGGTCATGGTACGGTTGCTCATCTCCGAGGGTTCGTGGTTGGTGTTACGGATGGCTGAGAACGCCACCCTTCCGGTTCCTGACCTCACCGACATGCCCAGAGCGTTACCCGATGGCTCCGCGGACGGGGTGGAGTCGCACACCACCAGACACTTTCCCTCCAACACGATCGGTTCTGTGTCATTCTGGCAAATGACCTCTGAGGGCCCCCAATGCACGAGAAGGAGTAGTCCAACGAAAAACACAGAGCGGCGAGTGAGGTATGGCAATGAGGGAGGATATGGAGAGGGCATAGCTCCAAATGAGGATGAGCTTTGGGTGCTTTTGGGCTTTGCTGGTGTTTTAACTCCCAAAACAGTGACAATATGGCCGCCACAAATCTTCGGAGACTATGTATCTTCGTGGAGTACGCCTCACTTTAGCAACCGGATCATCGTTTCACCTGGAAAAAACACCTCAACCAAGGGATTCTCGCATCTCATGGGGCCTTTATCACCCTCAACTGACAGTTGCACAAGCACTGGGTGGATGTGGAGTGTCTCTGGAGAGGAATATTAGTTGCCAAAAAGATAGTGGCTTCCCATAGCAGCAGACCGGAAGTTCTTACATGCACAGTATAGATGGAGGTTATCCAGTTTCTCACACCCCAGCAGGAACAGCCATCAGTCAGCTGGATGCTGACGCAGAATCCAAACTAGCTTGGAGGCTGTCAGGGCTTCAAGCCTGTTTAAATCAGTACATCACAGGACACAGTTTTACACGTCAACATTAGGATAAAACTTACATTTTCCATAAATAAAAACAATGACATGACTGAAGCTTTTCTATTGTTCGCACTATGTTTAGTATCCAGGAGAATTGTTGATTAATAGAAGGGAGTTTTGACTGGATAAGATTTTCAGACAGGGCTAAAATTACGGGAAAATTAAGTACATTGTAATTAAAGCTTAAAATATGAATTTATCTATATGTTTGTTTATGTATGCATTAAGGTTGTGTATGTGTTTATAGTTATATCAGGCAAGTTCACCATCCAAATTACATTTTTCTTGCCTCTCCTTTTGGAAAAATTAAACTAAAAACAAAAAAGACAATTAGAACATTTAAAACTATGAACAAGGCCTGCTTCTTCTACTTTTCTGAAACTAACAAACACTACATATATTATATTGGGTGTCTTTGATCAAAATGTATTCCTGTGGCAGAAAAGACCTTTTCTATTCTTAAAAATTGTAAAAATACCATTACACTCATGAACCTGCATTGAAGCTATTACAGTTAAAAATTGTTGAATCCAACATTGCGTTCAATGCTGTAACATTAAATGCAATAAAACGCCTGACTTCTGAGGTCAAGCAAGATGCAGGAAAAAGTGTTGATATGAGAGAAAAATTATTAAGTTGAAGAAGGAAATAAGCTGAAGAAGAAGAAGTGATGAGGTAATGCTTTGGCCAGGAAGGGGCCTGCGTGAGTTCTGCCAGCTGGACTCAGGAGGGGGGAACATTGGACTATCACAATCCCACCACTGAGAGGCCATCTGTGGGTAAACACTCCCACTCTCTCTCTCTCCCATCACCTTTCCAATTTAATACCTCTGCATTCGCATTCCTTTACACAAACACACTATAAATACAGATATGACAATACCACCTCAAACATCATCTGAGCAGCAGTTGTCAATATTTGCACTGGAATATAAGCAGTTTACTTTTCATGCAATGCAGTTGAGTATTACCCTTTAACAAACCCTTAAACATTGTTTTACAGAGTTTAGAGTTTAGTTAAAAACACTGAGGAAATCTCACATCATTCTGAAGTATGAGATGAATCCCTACAGTAAGCTACATAACAACATACCCAACGATAAAAAGTAAGAGCATCTTCACAATAACAACCCTTGCAACACGCATAATAACATTATGTTTCAGAATACAGCTGGAGAAACACCCACCTCTCACTTATAGCGACATAAAGAAACCAGCTTGCTTCAGTAAAGTTGGAGCATCCCAAAAGTCCTGTTCCCCTGTTACATTCAGCTTTATCTCTGTTCCTCTGCCTCTCTTTCCCCCATCTCTCTCTCTCTCTCTCTCTCTCTCTCTCTCTCTCTCTTTCTCTAGCTATCTCTCTGTTCCAGGAAACCCCTGCGTTCAAGCAGACGTTTAATTACATCACAAGCATCGCGGCCCTTCTGTTCTCACGACTCCTCGACCCCCTACTGTACCTATTTCCCCTCTCTCCCCATCCTCTCTCTTTTACCTCTGATATCACACATCAGATGGCGGAACTGAAAGGCTCCATCACAAACTGCTGTAATATCCTTTCTGTGGGGAAACATCTGGCATTTATAAGGGCCCATGAAAGCTTGAAACATTATTAATGATTTAATCATAATTTTGTTTTAATTTCATGCTAACTATTTAGCTGGTTTAACATGAAAACCCTGATATTTATTCTGAAGTCTAAGGTCTGGAGAACAAAACTCACATGCACAGTAGTTATTGTGAAATACTAATATTGAATGTAATTGGATAAACATTGAAAAATTCAAAAGGTCAATTATACTTTCTAACATTTAATGGAAATTACAATTTTTTATAATGTGCTTTTGTTGCCTAAAAATAACCACACACAGGATTCACGTTGCAGTTTTTCCTTCACTTGAAAAAATGCTGCCACTGAACATAATCCAGGCAGCAATCAGGATTAACATACCACAAACCATTGGCCACTCCTAAATAGATTAACTTTTTTTTAATTAGTTTTCCTTATAACTACAAAGGTGTGGTGTTACATAAGAGAGAGCGTTGAACTGACTTAATGTTTTATTATGTAATTATTGCCAGAAATGAACAGGTAGGAGCCTTCACTCGTCATACAAAGAAACACTGGGTTCTCATGACAATTGTGAAATGTACAAACTCCTGCAGAAAGTGATGCCCTTTTTATGCATAATAAAATCTGTTAAAATTGCTAACTAGGAAATTACCACCATGTGTTTAGTTCCTATTTTTATCTGAGCTGTATAATTAATGTTTGGGTTGGGCTTTGGAACTTTCCAATACCACACACAGGAACCAAACAGAAAAACAAACAAACAAAAAATAAATAAATAAACTGGACTTTTATGACTTCCATCACTTTGGCAGTCTTGACTTCACTGGGTGAAGTTTTAGAGGGATAAAAAGCAGAAGATCATCTGCATAACATCAGAAGTGAACAACATACAGTAGGTTGAGAAGAAAACCGCGCCTACTGAGCCCTGAGGTCAGGCAAGTATTGAAGACTGAAACCATTTGAGTGAGGAGGCCTAGGTGAACAAATTCCTCCAGAGAATGTAAGGGCAGTGTGATCAATAATGTCACAGACAAATAGAAATTGGCACTGTGATTTGTTCTAAAACTGACTTGAGATTCTTCACTAAAAACTTTATTTTGCAGAAAATGACCACAGTGACTGTTATTTTATTTTAGAGATTATTTTACTCATGGATCTTGGATCAAGCAGAATTTGAAAAACATTAAAAAATATTTTAATGGTTATAAAAAATAGTTTGACTGATTGATTGATTGTTTCAACTTTCCTTGTATATACTGTTGGGTAGTCAAGCTCTTCAAATTGGTTAGCACTAAAGAGGGAGAATTGAAATATAAGATGATAAAATTGTAGTCACACGGAAGAAACAAGCAAAAACAAAGTTACGTAACTCACCCCTAAATTAATTGTTTGTCTAAAAAGGTGTGGTGTTACATAAAGAGAAAAACTGGAACTCAGAACCTGTGGGACAGGATATTGCATACTCTGCGACCACACTTCTTACTGTTGTGTGATTGGCACATGTTACATGACATGCAACAGACACATCTCAGACCCTGATAGTGAAAGGAAATAACTGTTTGTGTAATGAGTAGCATTACATAACATGTGTACTCTGCAAAGTCTTTGCTATTCACACATCTGTGGAAGTTGTGGTGCATCTGAGATGACAAGATGACCCCCCATTAACCCATGTTGTCTAATAGTGATGAGTTGCACACAGTTCTTACACACAGCCAAAGGTCATGCAGTCCTATTGTTAAAACCCTCTATGGTCTAAGGACATTTTCTCGATTAGTTATCGATTAGTTATCTCGATATTATTTTCAGAATAATCTCAGCTCTTTCTATAATGAGGCCCCTTTTGTTCATAGAGCATTGCAATTGAAGCCTAGTTTTTCAAATACCTCTTGAAAACAAACTTTTACTGACGTGGATGAATTGTTTTGGTGCTTGAAATGGGTTTATCAAAGTCTATAGGTTCATAGAAATAGTGCAATATATGAGTAGAATAGTAGATAAATGGATAATAAATGCCTAACATGAAGTTTTATATCACCGAGTCATAGAAGTAAGAATTTGTAAGGGAAAGTGGAGAGTCTACAGATTCTAACAACATTTAAACCACATTTCTACGCTGAACTATCGCAAAGACATAGAATAATAGGTGACGGATGGGTAGAAGGAGGTTCTATTGAAAAAGAATATCGGCCTTTATTTATTTAAAAAAAAAACAAATGAATGTGAACTAGTTCATTTTTCGAACTGTGAACTTAGTTCAGAATTTTATAAAATAAACTATGAATGTGAACTAGTCCATTGTCATCTGTATGAGCTGAACTTTGAACGTGTTCTTTTTAAGTGTGACCCGGCACAACGCTGTATGCACAACTGCATTTTGCACCTGACTGGTGACCACTACAAAACAAAGCATGAGGTGAAGATTCCTGAGTCCATCACCGGGTCAGATCTTACATATGCATTGAAAAAAGTGTAAGCAGAAGTTAGAAAAAAGGACAAAGCAATTGCCTTTTCAATGGAAAAGAAAACAAGATTTGACATAATTTGCAGTTTCACATTTTTATTTATTTCAACAAAAAAAAAGGCTTTTATCTCCAGTTTTACACTTTGAATCTGGGTTTATATATTGCACATCGATTTAAATTTAGCAGTGCCTTCAACAACATTTAAAACATTTTTTTTTTTTTTTGCATATTTCCATGCATGAGTCTGGTATAATTTTGTGAAACCTCTTATGGATAATAAAGCAAACAATTCATATCAGTAACCAGAAACCTTGCTGACATCTTACAAGCAGTAAAAGCCGTTGTCATGTGTAATGTTGTGTTAATAAAAAACATAAAAATAACCCATGGGTTGACCTGTTGCAGGTCAGTGTTGCTCAAATACTAATACAGTACAATAAATGAAACAAGTCAAACCTAAATAGGTTAAAAAATGTTCTTGAATAAGAACTAAAATCTCTGATTTTAAACATCAGTTAGCGTCATCCTTTCTTATTACACCTTGTACATCTGACTCAATGGTATGTCCCCGACGCCTCCCTCCACAGGACAGATCACCAGCGGAGCGGTGTTCTTCCCGCTGTCCGGGACACAGGGGTTAAAGTAGGGGTACAGAGGCTCAGTGAAGGAGCACCCGCTGTGTGTGTAAATGTGAATCTTTGTGTCTGCGTCGTAGAAGGACACGGATCCTTCCTCGTAGTCCAGGAAGATGCCCACCTTCCGAGGGGTTTCCTGGAGGTTGAGGGCGACGGAGGGGCCGGCGCAGGCGCTCAGACTGCCTCCTTTACGCCTGCAGATCGCCCAGTAGCCGCTGTCAGGGCGCACCGTGATGGCCCCCTTTCTGTTAATGGACTCCCTGGCCACGCCCAGATCCCAGTCTGTTTTATCTCCAACCTGAAAAACAACATTACAAAATACTGAATTAGACAGGCAGCAAAACAAAAGCAGTTTTTAATCAAAAGTTTATTGATTTTGATTCTTTTGTTTATCACCACCACAGCATGTAATAATATTGACCGTGTGTGTCACATGTACTTAACAATAAGAATATAAAGTTTAACTGTGTGTCTAGAGCTGCTGGTGTAAGACTGTTCTGTTAGTGACTCCTGTTCTTTGTTGGATTTGACTTGTTTGTGTGTACTGCTGGGTTAAAGTGTGTTTTCATGTCCGTTAGCTCCTACCTCAACAACCCAGTAGCTTCTTCCAGACGTGAAGCTTTGTTTCCCCAAAACACAGACGCAGGAGTCAAAGCGCTGAGGGTCACATGGGACTGGGGCCTTGTTCTTCTGGAAGCTAGCCTGTGGAGCAATATGATTATCATTATTATCATCATTGCCTTCGTCTTATCTTCATCATATTAGGTGTAATGCTTATCATTTTCCCAAGTTTAGCTTCATCTTGAGCCCCTTTGTACCTAATTTACAACCCTAACTTTTCTCTTTTCATCTATTACTTTCAGACCCAACACAACAGGAGATGTTTTAGTACAAAAGCTAAACCAATTTTAGCTCTTACAGCAGAAACCTCTGTGAGGAATTATTTGTTTAATAAGACTGTCTTCTTTATACATTTCAAGTCAGTGATTTTACAATCAGACAGTACCTGCTTTTTATCTGAAGACAGGACCAGCCAGCCTGAGGCAGTGTTAGGATCCAGAGTCACATCCACTGCAGAGACAAAGAGGAAAAACTGTGAGTCGAGTACTAAAAAGAGGAAGTAACTAAGGTTTATCAAGATTACTGAAATAAAAATAATAATTTATGATTCTGAACACACCTGCATATTGATTCATCTTGTCTGCTTCTGCAAAAAGGAAGAAGAAAACGTTATTTTCCTGCATTTGTTTCCTCAAAATCTCTTGAGTCTTTGGTCATTGTGGAAAGTAGATAATGATTTTCTGCCAAGGGCTCACTGACCTTCTGCAGACAGCTTGTTGGCAACTCCCTGACAAACATCCACCAGCTTAGAGACGGCTCTCCTCACTGTCCCCATGCAGTTATTGGAGTGGAATGCCACCTTGGACCACTCTTTAGTAGATGGGAGACTTCTGAGAGATGGGAAACCCTAAAAACAGGGAAGACACATGCGGTTTCTCATGAGTACAGTTTTTAATATGTTGATGCAGCGCAGATAAATTGAAATGTAGCACTGGTATCCGACCTGCAGGAGGTGCAGAGGGTTCTGAGTGAGCTCCAGGTGCTGCAGCTCGCTGCTCCTCGTCTGCAGTTCAGTGATTTCCTGCTCCAGCTCGTCGAGCAGCTCCTCCGCCCTCCTCTCGGCTTCTACCTGCCTCTCCTGGAGCTCTTCCACCAGCCCGGCCTGGTGGATCTGGATGGCGGTTATGAGCGTGGCACAGACCTGAGAACCGCTCTGAATCTCTTTCTCCGTGATTTTCTGTCGATTGAAACGATCGAAAGCGTAAACCTTCAGAGAAACACGTCGACGTAACAGATCGACTCTTTGTGCAAACACTGCAGAACCTACTTTGCTCAGCTCCACTGAATTTTTGATCTCATCCATTTTCCTAAACCTGGCCTGGATCATCTGTTGGATGTCGGCCTTTGTCGCCCTCAAAGAAGACTGCAAAGGGTCAAACATAAAAAAATTGTTAAAAAACACAAAATACTGTCATTTCCATATTTGCACAAGAGGAAAATTACTTTAAAAGGAAGTAAAATTTCTCCTCACCTTGACCCTCTTGCTGGCCTTCTCCATGGGGACGACCTTGTGGCTTTTATGGCCCCTCTCTACGCATTTCACACACACGGGCGTCTGGTCTTTCTTGCAGAACATCGTCAGCGGCTTGTTGTGGTTTCTGCAGAGGTGACTGGCGGGGAAGGTGGCCGGGTCTGTCAGCCGGTGTCTCTGCAGTGCCGGATCTCTCAGGTGAGGCCTGAGGTGAATTTCACAGTAAGACACCTGGCAGACGAGGCACGACTTGACCGATGTAGACCTGTTCCCGTCGCAGATGTCACAGGGAACTCTATTAGTGTAAGGGACACTGTCGACATCCTCCTCTTCTGGGGGCGACAGAGACCTTTAGATTTGGATTAAATGATGTTAAATTTCAATAAACTCAAACATTTTGCTTGTTTTAACATTCAAAATATGCTTTAATATTCAAAACAAACCTCTTGAAGAGTTCAATGACATTCGCAAATCCTCGGTTGATCCTGAGCTCCGGACGGTTTCTGAAAATCTCTTTGCACAGCGGACACTCCGACGTGTCCTTGGTGTCCCAGAAGCCCTCGATGCAGTCCAGGCAGAAGTTGTGGCCGCACGGGATGGAGACGGGGTCGGTGTAGATGTCCAGACAGATGCAGCAGCGGAACTGCTCCTCAAACAGCACGTTTCTGACTGGAAAAAAAAAACCACATTATTTTAATCAAACATGCAACATGCTGAGTGAAATTCTTAGTCTTCTCAGCTGAAATCTTTGCTCTGCTTGCTGCTCATCAGTTATATGTGAATACAAATCAGCGGGACAGGAGCTGTACTTTTTTTTTTGCATGTGGAAGCTGTAGATGCTGCATCATTAAACTGTTAAACAAAAACACTAAATTACAGACAGGAGTTCAGAGGTTGAGAATAAGGACAAAAGACTTCTTGAAACATTTTTTTCAGAACTACTTTCAGAATTACATTTGAATGTTGTCCACTGCACAACTGAAAATGTCAGTGTCATATGGTCAAATTGTCTCAATGGAAAATCATATTAAGAATCAGAGTCTGGTTTATTGCCAAGTAGGTTTTACAACATACAAAGAATTTGCCTTGGTGGTTTGGTGCATATCAATAACAATAAACATAAGAAGAAAAGGAATATAAACAAAGATGAAAACTAGCAAGTAGTGCAGGTTGGATAGACATAGAAGAATTCCACAGTAAGATAAAATAAAATAACACTAGATTGCAGATCACATTACATTATTGTATTTTAATTTTCAAAATAAAATTCAAATTTTAATACTGTCCATTGTGCAGCTGGGTACGACTTTAAAAATTAAATGTCAAGATGCTTTTTCCAATGAATTTTAATATGATCACATATGTGGAAAATTACAATGCAGGTTTAAGAGGTTTATGAATAAACCAAATTAAAATGAGACCAGAATTATAAATACAATTATTCCTTGCATCTTGTAGAATAGATTCCTATTTCAGTAATTTAAAGTAAATAAATTACTACTGCAAACACTGTAGTAAAAGCAGGTGATATTACAGCAGGATGACTTTTGATTGTTTTGTCATCCGTCAACGGGTTTTAAATTCACAAAAAGATGTTGATTAAAGTCGGCGGAGCAGTTGCAGTGGATTGTTATAGTTTTCTAGTTGGAGTTAGTCAATAGTCAATAATGTCTCACCTTCGGTTGACATGTTCAGTGTCCTGATCATTCTCATCAGATGCAGCAGTTGGTGTACGTATGAGTTTTTATACACAGCAGTTTCACCAGGGATCAGTCACATTGTTTACTGTTAAGCTCCTCCCTTCTGGCTCAGTTTCTCACACTACTCATCCACTCTTGTATTTCTGGTCCTTCGGCTTTGACTGCCGACCTTCTTATACGATATTCACCCTGAGGAGACACAGTCGAGCTCAGCTAGAGAAAAACCGCCGGAAATGAAGGGTTAGAGATGTGTGGCGCAACTATACATTACTGCTGCTGTTGTGACTGGAAACTCTTTATCCTCATACCTTGATACACTAAGCAATGGTTTCCAGTCACGAGTGTTATTGAGCAGCTGCCAAAACGTGGCCAATTAGTTGCTCAAGATGATAGATCTGAATATATACAGTGTACCGGAAGTGTCTTTCTACACTTTCCACCCAGAAGAGATTAATATATGTGTCACAAACGCAGAGAGGCAGGTCTTGTTGGTGGTCCACTTGATGGTGGAACAGAATCAGTCTCTGAATGCATTTCTGTGTATGTTTATTTATTTATTTCTTATTTTCTAATTTAAACATCCTTCTTTTTGCACAAAACGTGTAAAACTATAAAATTATAGATTTAAAAAACAACAAAAACTTAAATAAAGCATGATTTTTGGTTTCCACAGCTTCCGGCTGCTCTTAGCCTCATGTGAGTGTCAGTGTCTTCGAGTGTCATCAGTTACCATGCTTTTGGAGAGTAGCTCTTAAAGTTACGAAGGCTTGTAGGATGTATTTGACAATTATTTTGGCCTTAAGATGCTTTTCAGAAACAAGGACCCGTGTGTTGTGTATTTATTTTCAAATGACACAACAAAAGTCCAAGAATATTCACATCATGATGCTTTCATTGTCTTCAACAAAACTCAAAAATCCCAAACAGAACTAATACTATTATTTAATACAGAAGAAAATCTAATTAAACACCAATAGAATAGTCTTTCCTTCAGGCTTTTAAGACAAAGTTAGAAGCTTAAATGCATCAGTGAAGCTGAATATTTCAGCTTTCATGGAAAATGAATCCAATGAACTTAAATCTTCATAGTTTGTACAAGTAAATGCAACAGTCTGTCTTCCAGATCACACAGCTCACACAGACTGTTTTCCTCCTGAATGTTTTTTAATGATCAGCCATCAACTTTACATGTGCAACAAAACGTCTTTGGCCTCTAAATGTAACAAGATAGGTCGATTCGTCAGGATATATGTCAAGATAAATCCATCAACAGACAACAGTTGGTCTTTGGTATGACCTGAAGTGTATTTCCTCATTTTCACTGCACCTGATCTCAGCGTCGCTGGAACCAGTTTTTCAAAGTTCTTGTCTTTTAGAACAATACACAAATACACCTCACATCGTGAATAGTCAGACGTCAGAGTGAATGTTAGTCATACAAAAACAAATCATTATGACTATGTAGAAAACGCAGAGTTCACCAAATGAGAAGTAAAGAGGAGAAAATTCCCATGGAGTAAAAAGAAAACATAATAAAAAGAGTAATAATCAACCTGGTGTGTGTGTGTGTCCGCTCACTTTTATAATGGTGGTTTATGGGGAAAATGCTTTCTGGGCTGAGAGGGATTGTTTTTGTTGCAATACCGTGAGTGACCACTGGGAGAAACTGGTGGATTGGCCCGATTTGAATAGCAGTGGTAAAAAACGGTAATTATTTCTTAATATTAAATTGTTTTTTTTAATGCGATATATCCACTCTCTCTTCAGGCGCGCCGTTAGCTGTTCAAAATTCAATGTCAGGACATTTTCCAACCAAAATTCTGGTATTCCAGTTTGGTTTTTTTGTGTGTGTGACTTTTCAACACAAAAAGCAGAGATGAAAAAAAGCCCAAACAAAAGCGCATCGTAATAAAGAGTCGGCTAGTAAATCAACCTTGTTGGCTGTTGGTTATCTATGGGGGAAAAGCATTTTGAGTCACAGGGGACTTTATTTCTGTTGCAATACCACTGAGCATCATGAGTAATGATGTGAGTGTGTGTCATGTTGTGTATTTAGCACCTGAGTAAATGTACTTGTTCATTTTTCACCTCTACAAATGAATTTTTTTTTAGAAACAGTTTACTATTTCTTTTCCAAATAATGATAAAAAAAACAAACATCTAAAGGTTTAAATGTAGGTGAACTAATCTGATTCTCCCTCATTCACAGCTCTCTGAAAGACTCAGTGTAAACCTCCCACCTGAGTCAGCGTGAACGCCGTACACCACACAACAGAAACAAGGAGAATCAAGAAGTAGGTCAACAATATCTGATAATGAGAGATGTAATTAACTAATTAAGTCATGCTTAAAATACCATCAAGCATAAACAATAATTTCAACAAAGCAAGTGGTGTGGTTAGATCAATTGAAGAGGAATGCTTATTGAAAACTAGAGAGGAAAAAAATGAAGCAGCTGCTACAATGAAAAGGTCAATGGTCTTTACAAATTGAGTTTATTTGGCCACTTAACCGTGGTCCTTTCTCATAAAATATTTAGCCTGAAGTTTGGATTTTACATGTCACATTTGGCGCCATATTTTGCTGTAAAATTAAATGAAGAAACAACCATTAGTTTTTTGTTTTTTTTACTACAGGGTTTTCATGCATTCTGATCCTGTCTGATTTTGTTCCCAGTGTTTGCTGCTGCAAAATGAACTTGTGGATTGTCTTTGCTTGTTTAGTAGATTTGTAGAAACTCAATTATACTCATTACTCATATACTCATTAAAATCTAATGAATTGTTTTGATTGATAGACATTTCCATTGTCTTAGGACTGAAAGGCTCCTGAAACTGGGCCAGTGACTCATCACTGGCAATGACCTTGTGAAGCAGTGACACAGAAGTCAGTCATCATTATTATCAATTATTATGTGGTTTTCCTTTTCAGGCATGTCAAATTGCCTTCTGTGGAGTATTTCCAAAGGGGAAGCCCACAGATTTTACACATCATAGGTCCTGAGGAGGGGGAGGAGGGGGAGGAGGGGGTGGGGGTACAACTTTACACAAAAAGTTGTGCAAAGCCTTTTGTGGCTCCAGACTCTCTGGAGTTGGTTGAGTCAGGCTACATGAAGTTTACAAAGACCTCATCTCTGCTGGAGTCTAGCGGCTCCACCATGGAAGGATTATTAGACAACTGGCTCCGGGGCACAGACATGTAAAAGGCCCCTCCACGAAGCAAGACCCCCCCCAGACAGTTTGTAGTTTTGCATCTTTGTAGTTAATTTGCGTCTCTTTCAGGCCATTTTGTGGCTCAGACAGCAAACAGACACAGTCAGCAACTAATTCATTGATTAGACAATCAACGGAAAAAACTATTGGCAACTACTCTGATAATTGATTAATTGTTACTTTTCAAGCAAAAAACAGAGAAAGACAAACAAAGATTTTCTACACTGAGGATTTCCTGCTTGTCTTTGTTCTTGTCGCGGTGTTTCCCAACCTGCGGGTCAAGACGCTGTAAAACGGACAGCTGACCTGACACTATCCCATAAGATACCTTGATGAATTTGGGAATTCATTTTCCCCACGACTATGGCGAGCTCTCCAGGCGCTTTTAATGACGTTTTCATGTTGGTATGCGCTGGCCTTCTTCCATACACAGCGCTGCATGTTCTTTCCAAACAACTCAACCTATAGTTTCATCACTCCTCTAAGCGTGTCCACTGTAGTGTCATGGTGTGTCAAGCTGCTCTTTGACAGACAGCAGCAGCTTCCTCCCATGTTAATCAGCTCCCATGATTCATTTAAACCTTTAGCTGTTACTCTGATGTTCTTTGTTACGTTACGGATCACTCTACGCTGGGATTTTGCGGTCGTCTTAGTTGGGCGCCCACTTCTCAGGAGAGCAAACTGTCTCTTTGAGATCACAATTAACATTTTCAGTCTTCTGACATCTCTCTTTTTTTTTTTTACCAGGTATGGTTCTCATCAGCTGATTTTCCTTGTGAATTGCAAACTCGAAATGCTTAAGTGTATTTTTATAAGTCAGAGTAGATCTAACTCCCACCTCCTCTGGTTTCATGGACAGGACTGACAGGTTTTTCTAACTGCTGCCTCCAATTTCATTAATGCTATTGGGGTTCACATACTTTTTCCAGCCTATACACTGTGACTGTTTGAATGCTGTATTCAATATGGACAAGAACAATACAATATTTTATGTATTAATTAAAATAGATTGCGTTTGTTCATAATTGTATCTTAGATAAAGATCTTTCAGACGAGTTCATACATAAATGCAGTAACACCCAAAGGGTTCACTTACTATTTCTTGCATTCCAGATAGACTGGCTGATTTTACAGGAATCCACACCAACAACAACATCAACTCTATTTTTCTGAAGTTAAATGTTTATTGTGTCGGCCCACCCTTTCGCCTTTTAATACATCCACTGTCAACACCTTTACATATAAGTGACTCAATGATGATTGTGTTTTGTTTGTTACTTGAGTGATCGATAGGCTTTGATTTCTGTACATGAGCTGTTAGCTTCTAGGGGTTACGCTGGTTCCCTTAACCGCTCGGACTCAGAGCTCAACAGAATTTAACGCTGTTGAGCAAAAAGTATAAAGTGAAATAAAAAATAAATGTGGTTAAAAAGTAAACAAATGAGATGCCACTGTAGTAACTTGCTGTGCTTTTCCAGATCAGATAAAGACCTAATATCTTGATAAGATCGTAAAAATCACTGGCTGCAGTCTGTTGAAACAAGACTCCACACCCTTAGAGACAACACCACTCGCCTCCACCTGAGAACATTTTGTACAGAAATCTACCCTCATGCTCAGGTCAAAAACTACACACAGAGGAACGTAAACTCCATTTTTGTGCAGATTACAATCAGCTCACAGTTCTCGGATTTCTCACTTGACTGAAAAGTATTATCTGCTCTAGTAATGCAGAGACAACTGAAACCTGTGAGATTACTCACTAGATAAAGTAATATAATGTATGCAGCGGTTCCCAACCCGTGGCCTGCGGTCCACTGATGGTCAGCGAAGATACTGCAACTGGGCCGACTAATCGTTTGCAAAACAGCACAGTTTTGGTGAAAAGATGTAATTATAAATATATGATGTTTTTAAATGTTT